GTTAAGAGGGGTAAAATGATTCCTGCTCTTTGCAGTGTTGTTTGGTGACAAGGGATTTTTTCAAAATTTTTTATTTTTTAGTGTTTTAAAATTATAGAAGGAACTGTAGTGATTTGGAAAGGAAAGTATTTTATCGGAACAGAGAGACCTCCTGGTTGTGCCTGGCGGAGGCAGAGCTGGCAGCTAGCTGACGGAAACGCAGCGCAATGGAATCCAGTGACTCTGGAACAGCAGATGGATGAAGTGCAAACGCCGTTTTGTCCCGCTTTGTCTAAGGAGCCACTTAGCCTTTGTGGCTTTGGTTTGCTTTTAGCTAACGGGAGGTAGTCACCGTGGCTGGGAATGACTCTTTGTGTTTTTAAATCAGTGGCCGTTTCTTTTGTAGGCTGAGTTTATCATCCTTCTTCAGAGGACGTGGAGCTATTCTGAATAGTAGCCTGCCAACTGAAGTTGAGGGAGAAGCCCACCAGCTCGTACCTGGGAGGTGGGAGGGAAGGTTGCAAACCTGACCGGTGATACCTGGGCATCCCGCTGCTGCAGCGGTTGCCTCCTGGAGAGAGCGCAAAGGCTTGGCTTTGGCTCACAAAGTCACGGGGACCCTGGCTGTTCTCTTCAGGCATAGCCCGACATCCCCATTCCGTGTTGCTTATCCGGCGTGGTCTTGGTGGATCTTCCCCAACGATGGGAAAAAGGGGAGGGAGGGGTAGGAGAAGCAGGAGGAGCGGTAGTGGTTGGCAGCCTGGTGTTCCCTGTGGGGACGTTCGGTTTTGCAATGAACCTCCTGGGTTCTTGGCAGGTTGGGTCCGTTGACCCTTCTGGGCACGCTGTGGTGAGTGTTTAGTTATTTACTAAAGCCTTTTGAAGGGAAGGTGGCTTGATGGGGTCTGAGGCTTTTGTGTTGCGGAGAGTTGTGTGAGAATCTTTGCTGGGGTTAGCTATTAGCTGATTGTTTAATTATTTGGCTCTGTAACTAAGTAACTAAATGCCTTGAGCCTTAAGATAAGCAGCTCTTTGTTAACATTTTAATAAATGGAGGCAAATAATAATAATTTAAAACCTAAGGAAGTATAAATCTCTCGTTTCGGTGAGTGAATCTTGAATAGAAGCATGATTTGGAATATAATGGCATGTATCATAATCTGAAATAGCACGTTCAGAATGTCCCCGGTCCTCTATTGTGGTCATGATTTTTATACAAACAGCATTTACTCCGTTTGGTGGCTGGATGGCATAAACCGTGCTGCGAGACTGTATAAGCAGGCGAAGAAAAGTTCACGTCTGTTTATTTAACAGCAGCTTGGTTTTCCATGGTGGTATTGTTCAATAGCTCCACCTAGACAGTTAAAATACATTGTGTGCACCGCTATGACAAATAAGGATGTAGCTGAGAGCAGACAATAGCAGAAGCAACGTGCCCTCCCTTGTCCCCCGGTGTTTAAGGACACCACCAGAAATTTCACACATGCCTTTGTCGCTTGTTTGTTTTTTTGCGGGGTGATAGACAGGTGTTATTCACATCAGGTAATGCATCTTTGGAGTAGGAACTAATGCCGCAACGACAGGGTTTGCAGGAGAGCTCGCTTCGAAGGGCATCCCGTGCCGCCTGCCCTGGGCCGTGCAGAGCTCGCCCAGCAAAGGGCTGATGTACAGGCTTGTGGTGATGGCTGAAGGACACAGCTTCAAGGCAGAGCTTCAGAGACGGCTGGAGGAGCGTGAAGGTGAGACCAGATAGTCAAGCCTTGCTTGGTGGTGCAGGCTCTGCAGGGTTATCTGCTCCTTCTCCCATCGAGGTATTTTCACTAAGGGAAAAATCAGGAGGATGCTGCTGAAAACACCAGAGGATGGCCACTTGTAGCTTTATTTCTCTGGTATGCTCAGAAGACGTGGAAGTGGGGAAGGAATCTCGATGTCAGCCTCAGGGGAACCATTGATTTCATGGTACAGCGCGCACATGAGTTCACAATTTGTCCCTAAATTTCAGAGTGGTGTAAAAATCCTTGTGCGGTGTCCTGGAGAGAGAGTTAACTTTGCAGCGCAGGTTGTTTAGGTGCTGCAGGGAATTTTTTTAACGGTTTAAACTGGTTGATTTTTGCAGTGAGGCTGTTGGGTGGATTCATGCCTCAGAATCCCACCTGTTCTCTGTTTGCTTTTGGGCACCATTTCAAACCCATGCTGGAAAAAGTTTATAGGCAAACATTATAAAAAGTGACAGTCTTAAGTGCTGCTACATTCTAGTTTGGCAACACAAAGGCTTACCTGAAATAACTCACCATTTCCAAACATGACTTGATTATTTCATGACAACACTTTGTGCTGTATCTTCCCTGATCCTCTGGAGAGAAAGAAATGGGGGAGGATAATATTTACTAAATGCCTATTTGAAACTTGGTTTGTCTTCGGTATACTGGTAATTTTTCTTGTAAAAGGATTTTTTTGCAATTTTGAAATAAACTAGTGCTCTTGAGTTTGTATTTGCGTCGAAAGACTCAGTGTAAATTTGGGGGTAGTAGTTCAAAAAGAGGTGAAATCAAGGATCGGAGGCAGAAAATTGTTTTCCTTGTAATTGTACGTGAACAACCGATCTGCCCAGGAGGATGTTGCAACCTGTGTGACCGTCCTCTGAGTTTCCTGGCACTCTTCAGCCAAAGCCTCTAATGCACTTAAAGGAGGGTTGAGTTATCTTCACCCATGGTGGCTTTAAAAAAGTTTAAACAAAGACATTTTTAGACTCCAGTACCTTGTTGGCACAGTGTAAACTCTGTAAAAGAAATTTTTCTTTGCGGGTAGAGCGTTGCAAAGAAGTCTTAAAAGCTTCAAAGTAAATTAGCTAACTGGCTTCAGGTACTTTTTTGAGTGGAATCAGAATTTAAAAAAAAATCTCAAGCAGACGCAAACATACTCATTACTGTTACAAAATATGTGTAGAAAGGAGCCCATGCTCCTTCTGGAAATTAGATTTCTAACAGTATAGTATAGTACTCAGTGAAATATCTACATTGCAGATCTGTGGATTCGTGACTGTATCGGCAAGAGTGCATTAGTTTATAAGGAGTATAAAGCTGTACTGTGGCTTGTCCTAGACTTTGAGATGGAGCTTCGCACGCTAAAAAGTTTAGAGACCTTGTTATAAAACCTAAATCCAAGAATCTTTGTAGTCTCCGTAATTGGTCTCGTTTAAGTGGTTTTAGGTAAGTCTCCTGGCCACCAGCTTGGTGTCATGCATGTGTCAAATCTGTTGTTTGAAAAAACACGTTTGCCCTAGGGAAAAATCCAAGAGAAGCTTTGCTTGCTTTGCAAGGGCACATCCCTGGCTCTGTTCTCCCTTTGCTTCAGGCAAACTCCCACTGAGGTCCCTGAAATGACATGATTCCAGGAGGAGTGGGAGGAGAAACGAGAAACTGGGCACGCTGTTTTCGAGTGCATTGATATAACCCAATATTTAAATGCATGAGTGTCCCACTGTGGTGGCCGCTTCTGGTATTCATAGAATCACAGACTATCTTGAGTTGGGAAAGACCCATAGAGACCACCGAGTCCAACTCCCTGCTCCTCTACCTAAACCTAAACTACTGACAGGGTTTCAGCCTTTCCAAGCTCCCATCCGCAGGCTAGCTCAGATGTGATGCTTGCCTCGGACTCCTCTGTTGAAAGTGTGATACGAGAAATGACGGCGCTGTACCCCGAGGGTGAGGAACATGGGTTTCAGGGTTTCTGTATTCTTAGAAGCGAGGGTGGACACCGAGGAGTCACCTATTTTAATATTCCCTCAGACTCCCAAACAGAGATGTGTGTGTTATTTATCCATGCTCAGAGTGGTGCACAGCTGGTGCCTGCGCAGAGAAGGATGTGTGCCGGGGAGCAGCTGCCTGTGCAGTGTGACCCTCCTCGTGAGCAAACAGGAGATGCCTTCATGCTGCTTTCCCTTATTTACTTTCCATGCCGGCCTTGGCGAGGCCCAGACGCTCGTGGGAGAGGGATTCTGTGGTTGTAGGGTCCCTCCACCCTGTGCCGAGCTGTCCCGCCGTCCTTGCGAGACGGTCCCCGGTGCCTGGGGCCGCGGTTCCCTTCTCTCTGCCGAGCGCCTTGGAAGGGGGAGATAGTAACTATAACTAGCCCTAGTAACTATAGGCAGATGTAGTTTTCCAAGGATGTTTGTTTTTTGTTTTTTTTTTTTTTTTAAAAAAAGTGTGGTTTGAAATTCTGCTCGTTATTTGGTTACAAAAGGGAACTGATGGATGAGCCATTTCGTTTTGAACTTCTGTCTACGCTGTGGCTTTGAAAGCTTCGCTTGTGTTCCTGGGTTTCTGCTCAGGAGAGGCTGTGAAATAAGAAATGAAGCAGAATAATATTAAAGGAAAAAGTTACTATGACTGGGAACAGAGTTGGCAGTGTGGAAAAGCAAATGTAGAGACTTTGGGAAGGGTGCAGGGAGCAAAATAAGAGACATCATATATGCTGTGTATGGGAACTCATGTTTATTAGCTTAGCTAGTGAAGGGGTTTTTGGTTGTCCTTTTCAGGTGATTTTTTGGTTTTTTTTTTTTTTTTTTTTCTTAAAAAGCAACTTACAAAATCAGATGGGGAAAGATAAATATTCATTTGAATCACAGACACAAATGCTAAGGTGTAAAACTGAATTTGCTTGTTGAACTGCTCCTGGCACCTCCAAACTCCGTGTCTCCCCCCGGGTTCATCTCACGAGTCAGCTGGCTGTGAGCAGCGAGGAGGTCGGGCCTTTGCGTGGGACAAGGCACGTGCCGAGTCACTGATCAGAAGGGAATGAGCTTTGTTTGTGGTTAACTTCTTGAAAATGAAGCCCATCCCATACCTGCATATGGTTCAGTTTTATGAGACAGATTGCTGGGCTAACCGGGATGCGGCTTTTTTTATTGAACATAACTTGATTTCTGTGGATGAAAAGGGCCTTCACTGACTCTTGTTGGAAATTCTCTCCTTTCCCTTCTCTTTCTTCTTTTTCCTCCTTTCCTTCCACCTTCGCAGAGCCGCCAACCAAATACCAAATCTCTCAGCCAGATGTATATTCAGCACTCCCAGGAGAACCGCTTGAGTTGCGCTGTCAGTTGAAAGACGCCGTCATGATCAGTTGGACTAAGGATGGGGTCCCTTTGGGGCCCGACAATAGGACAGTCATTATTGGGGAGTACTTACAAATTAAGGATGCTACACCCAGAGATTCGGGCCTCTATGCTTGCACTGCTGTTAGGACCCTAGACAGTGATACTCTGTACTTCATTGTAAATGTTACAGGTGAGTTAAACATAGGTTTTTTTTGCATGTGGAAGCTGTAAAATGGGATATAAAGACACATTATGATATAACGTCAAACAGGCCACTCGGGCACGGCGAGTTGAGCTGAGTTCTGTAGTTATTCCAGGTATTTTTCGTCCTGTCCTGACCCTGAAATGGACTCAGTTTGTATATACTCCTTTTACTTCACAGGATCTATAGTGATTAACAGCCTCTAAATAGCTCTCTGTTTTATGCCACTATGACAGGATTAAATTATACAGAGCTGCTGTGATGATGATAAAGCCAGTAGAATGAATACAAGTTTCCCCCGCCCTGCACCAGAAGAGGAAAAGGGGTGTCCTACATCCTTTAAATTTAGAGATAAATCGTTCTGGAGATACTCAGTTCTGTTCAACTGAATGTCTTTCAGAAAAATAAAAATTGTAACTGGAAAGAGATTTTTAGAGTTAGCAAGCTCCCTTTGGACACTTAGGGGAGGATTATTAGCTAGTTTTTGTTAAAATTCTATAAGAGTACCACACGTTTTGTGGCAGGATTTTCTTTTTCTATAGCTTCTGCACAACTAACATAACATCTGATCTCCTTGGTAGATAATCTAAGATGTAGTATATTGGTTTATTTGTCTGTAAAAATAGGCTGGTTTAAAGACTTGATTATTTTTAATGTGCAGATGCTCTTTCCTCTGGGGATGATGAAGATGACAATGATGGGTCCGAGGACTTTGTGAATGACAGCAACCAGATGAGTAAGTAACAGCGAACTGCCAGAAGTCACTAGTGAGATCCACGTGGAAAATAATCTCCCATCTTTTGCACTCCTGCCTTCAGAGCTTCTTGGTTGTTAACTGCATGGGCTGTCAAATAGCGGCATCTTGGTCCTTCTCCATTTTCTGTTTCACATACTTCATAACTTGGAAAAGAAAAAAAGAAAAAATAAACTAATATTCTTCTAAACATGCTTTACTGGTCTGTACTTTCTTTCTCCCTTCTTGCTAGCTTTTCTGCAGTTTCCTTTCTTCCTGAATTGAAGTTCAGTCTTTTCTGGTTTAGACTCTCGCAGATGAACTAACTTACCCTGAACCCAAACTGAAATTTAACAGAAGAAACAAAGATCCAGCTCACTTTGTTAAAAGGTGGTATGGAAACTTTAAAAATAAAATTAAGTTGTAATGAGGCAAATCCTTCAATCCTTAATCTCGGCAGAAATCTCCCCGGGGAGAATGAATTTGGAGACAATGAGGTTCTTTTGTCTGCAAAGGACCTGAAGGTTTGTTGCAAAGAAAACAATCCAGCACTAAAACCACATTTTATGTGACTTATGCATGATGAAAATGGGCTAAAAGAGTCTTAAACCTATCTGAATGTTAAACTTCAATCCCTTTAGAGAATTTGGAAAGCTATTAATAGGCTCTAAATAGAGCAGTCGCTGAGAAAAAAGAAAAAAAAAAAGGAAAATTCATATTGGTTCCTTATGCTTCTACGCACTGTTGCAAAATCCCCTCGGTGACTGGTAGTTTGCTATCGCTCGTGCTTTGTGAAGTCAATAACACGCAGAAATCCTTTGCGGGAGATGTCAGCTAGTTACCGAACGCAGTAGCCAGGTAGTATATTTGCTCCTCAGCCTGATTAGTAATTGGCAGCTGTACGGTGTGCGTGGAACACTTGTTCACATGATAAAGTACGAGCCCGATTTCAGCTCCCCTGATTAGTTACTGTTGTGTACGGCTGCCCCTGGTCTGAAGCTGTGAAACATTAGATGCTATTTAAAATGATATAAGTTCTTAGCTGCCTGTTTGGCCCCTGCCATCTGTTAGTGTGATTAACCCGCTCTGATTCACAGGTGCAGCTGGAAGTGGCTGAGGTTAAGCAGCTGGAGGCTGCTCTGACAAAGGAATGCGGTGGCACAGATAACTGGCGAGTTTGGAAAAGGGACACTGCTTTTAAAAGAAGTTGTCTCGACAAAACCCACCAACCCAGGCAATGTTAGTGGTCCCCTGAAAAGGACTCGTGGGTAGAAAGTCATCTGAGGAAACGTCCCTATGTCTGTTATCAGCTTTCCTGGTGTTGGTCAGAAAAGGACTTGCAATTTTTTCGGTGTGTTAGCGAACACAATTGTGTTTCTAATCCGTGCTGATGGCTTTAGAGATTCACCATGAACACAAATGGATTTTGGAAGCACATACAGTGAGGGGAAAAAAAAGAAAAGGACCTGATCTCAAGGCAACTGTGCTCCATAACGTCGCGGTAACAATTCCTGCCCTTCCACACAACGAGGAGAACTGCCCCGTGGTGTAACGCTAGCGATGCTCTTGTAATATGAGCTATCATTTTAAGCTCCTCTTAATCAATCTTGATTCAGGAGCTGGTGAAAGGCCATTGACAATTTCCGTCTGCCGGGGATGGGGTGTGTACTTTAGCAGGGGTCAGTCACACTTTCCCTGCTCAAAATGAAAGATGCCTCTAGAGCGTGAACGTTTAAACATCTCGGATGGCAGGGAGAGCGCGGACTCTTGCAGTGTACAAGGGAGGAAACTGCAAGAAGACAGATTGCTCCCGAGCAGAGCGTTGTGCAAACAAGTCCTCGTGAGATTGCTTTTTACGAGGTGCCCACAAACTGCTGGGGCTTCTTGCGAGGTGCGGGCGGGTGCAGGGAGCAGCGCAGCCTTCCTCCCGATGTCTGAGCGCTCGATGGGAAGAGCTGGAAGAGGAAGAATGGTTGTGGCACCACATCCTCTGCAAGCAGTCTGTTTCAATGAGAAGTTGTGTTATAGTAACTCGGCTGGATTAATACAACTTTGCTGAAAGAGGGTTGTGATTTGGCAAGATCAGAGCTGTGTGGGTGTTAGGGGTGGGACTTGGCGTGGTGCTTTTGCAAACCACTGAAGCTTGTGTATCCAGTGTCTTCTAAGCCTTCCCATCAGTATCATTTGCCATTCCCCTTCTAGACTTTATATTGTGTCCCAAAGGCCACATCTCATTTAATAAACTGTCACAAGACAGGTTGAAAAGTGCAGGAGGAGTTGAGGAGTTGAGGAGTAGTCCAAGTCCTCCCCGAGCAGTGGTGTGCAGGGTCAAATGCCCTTTACCACCTTCTCCTGCCTGGGGAAGTCCAGGACCTCACAAGAGTCCCTGGTTGCTGCTCTTTAAGAGAAGAAGTCTTTAAGTGTTTCCTGAATCATGGTTTGAGTTTTGCAGATCTAAAACAATTTAACTGATAATTTACATACAAATTACAGCTGTGATCGTTAAGGATAAGCAATGGAAATTGGCCTGGTTATGCCTTTACTGATGGAAACAAAAGGCCATAGTCTTCAAAGGTTGTTGCTTTTTGATGAAACAATTCTGATAAAGTCCAGCTGTCCTGGCATGTTAATTATGATGTGATGAGGCAGGAAATGGCTGTAGTGGCTTCCACAGGAAACTGAACCTTGGCATTCTCATTCCTGCATATTTAAAACTAAAGCAAACCTTTTAGAGCTGTTTTATTTATCATGGTAAGTATTCTTTTAAGCTTTTCTATTTTCTTTGCCTCTGTTACAAATATATATTTCAGAGGCCAAGGTTTTCCAGTGCAGGTAGAGAGGTTGTTGAGGAAATGTAGCCTAATTTTCAAGGCTGCCCAGAAAGTACGACTGGTCTTGAAGTCAGCGGAGGCTGTAAGTGGCTCGGTAGCTGTGAGGAGCAGCTCGTTCACGAGAGAGGAGGGCACTCGCACGTACAAATGCGCATTTGACCATTTGCCCTGTGTGTATTTTTAAGTAAAAGGCATGCATAGCAGATTTCACTCTGCGTTTGGTGTCTTTCTAGTTTGACAGATATTTCAACCGTCTGAAAAAACACTGTGGTAGATTTGTTCCAGACTGCATCCTGAATAGCTTTTTATTACTTCCAGCTTTTGTTGAAGGGATTAGTGCTCGTGGGGAAGGTGCAGCATTGGTTCCACTGCAAAATAGTCCTCTCTCTCCACAAAATGGCTTTGTTGGCAACTCGGTTTTTCTCTTCATTGCCCTAAAGTGGTGCTTCAGTTCAGTTCTGGAGGGCCACCTCCAGAGATACTGGCCTGGGACTTCCTTTTACAAAGCTAAAGGCTGATCATCATCAGTTCCTACTGGCAGCAGTGGAGAATACCTTGTTGGTACCTGTTGCTTCCTCCTCATTGTGATTTTGAGAGGTAGCCCTAACTTAAGGGATTTCTATTAATCCTGACTTGGTGCTGGCAAGGCAGCAGCTGTTGTGATGGTTGCACTGAGGTCCACCAACAGTAATTTATTCTGGAGACCCCTGGGTAGCCCTGAAGATGCTGTTGTTCTGCCTTGAATTCTAGTCAGGCGACTGGAGGCTTTATGGTTTTTTTTCTTTATCACCCTTTAAACAATTTCTTCTGGGCCAAGCAATGGTAAATTGGCACCAAGAACAAAAAGTATCTAAATGTAATCCACATGCTGTTCTTTTCATGCCTTGAAGAATCTCAGAAAGGATGAAACAAGGTTCAAATTCATCAAATCCTGCAGAGTGGAAACCCACTCAAGGGAGCAGCAAAAATTGGATGTTGCCTAGAAGTGTTTTTTAATTAAAGGTCAAATACAATAGTACTGAAAACCTTGGGGGGGTTTGATGTGGTCATTTCAGGCGCACTATTGCCTGCTCGAGGCGCTTGTCAGGCAGGCTTGGAGTTGACTACTTTTGTATTTCTTTGTATTAGATAAGTCCAAATAAAAAGTGAGGCGTCCTGAAGTGGTCCCCTGGGCTGCCTAATTTCAATTTCACATGCAGGAGATTTGCCTGATTAGATGTAATGTATTTGCAGTGGAGTGCAGTGTGGGTCAGCAGGATATTTTCTTCACTAATGAGAGCTCTAAAAGCAATCAGGAATTCCCACCCGTTCCCCTGCTGCTCGTTACTGCTACGTGCCGGAGTTTGCCCTGTTGTTACTGTGAACTTTTAACAGAGGTGCTACCTACTTCCACCTGTCCTGCTAGCAAAGGTGGGATGCGATGGACGGGGTCTGTAAGAGGAGTCCGCGTATAGTCGTTAGCGGCATATACTCGTTAGCTATGTTCGTTATTGGTTTTAGTGAATCGAGATGTTTTTTCTCTCAAGACAAATAGAAGCAGTAAAAGGTGTTTTTAGGTCACGATGATTTAATCTATAAAGAGAAATGCTGCGTGTTAATCGGATCAGTGCTATACGAAAGCACAACCTGAGGGCGAGCGTTATGGTTTGTGGATGTTGTGGCCTTTTTCTCTTAAACGCATTGAGGAGCTGCCAATATACATTGCTACTACCTAGTGAAAAATGGTAGGGTGTCTTGAAGCGTTATCAGACGGCGTTTTCAACATGTGATGCCCGCATGTTTTTCTCCAAGCTCCCCTGTAGTTCAGGATCATTGCAGGTTATGCTGAGGGTTGTGCGAGGGAAAGCGTTCCAGGCAGAGGCTTCTCCAGCCCGGGGAGTTTCCTTTCCCCTTCTCTCCGTGGCACAGAACGGAGGTGCTTCTCTTTATTCCTGTCTGCATCATCCCGGCCTCTTCTCTGCTCCCACCTCTTCCACGGAGCAAAGTTTTGTCTCCCCGGGCATTTGTTGTACACATTTGTTGTACACGAGTCTTAGTGGAGCACTCCTCTTCCAGGAGCAGAGGTTTTGAAAGGGTGAGTGTTGATGGAAAGGGGGGGGTTATACGCAGGAAAACCAGAGGATGCGCTGCACTATAATGCAGAAAAAACCTGGCTGCATGAGGCAGCCTTCTTTGGGGAGCTGTTGGTGGCTGGATCCAGACCAACTCAGGTGCCCTGGTCCTGGGCTGCACCCTGACGGGCGCTCCTCCAGAGCTTGGTCCGTCCAGCCCTGGGCGAGCTGTGGAGCCTGTGCTTTGGAGGTTGTGCTTGCCAGCGACTGCATCCAAGCTTTTTATGCTCTCTGCGTGTGAGGAGGTGTGTGTGATGGATGTGACGAGAGGTGACCACGCTGGCTGCAAAGTTGCTGGGGCGGTGTTGCCAGTTTGGGGTCAAATCTAGGCATTCTGCTCTAAGATACCCGTATAAGTGGTTCGGATGGTTGGTTGGCTTTGACCTGCCGCAGTTTACTTTGACTTTGTGGGAATTGTGGGTAGGGCCCAATATTGGTCATCTTACATTGCCTTGTGGAAGATGTTTAGCGATCCAGAGAAAATATCCTTTTAATGTATCAGTACCAACATGTAATTCCACCTTTGCCTGGTATACTTGTAATGTAATTTGGTCTTTGCGTGTAGCACTTAATTCCTTTGGTTGGCTTTGTTTAAAGTCTTCTGTTATTTTAATGTGATCCTGGTTTTAGCAAATAATGTTAACAGTGATTTTCCTTGCATCCCTAATTCACTTTAGTCCGTGTAACAATTTCTTAGTGTTGCAGTTAATTTTTCAACAGTTACCTGATTTTCTATTTTGATTACACGCACAAATTTGCTTTGCTTTTCTACTTCATTAATGTTAACGCTAATTGCCACTTCGGGCAAAAAAAATAATCACTTATCGTTCTTAGCATCATTACGAGACTTGCTTTTGAAATGTTTTCTTTATACTCAGAGAGATGTTGTTAAAAGATTTATTCCTGTATTTTCTATCCAGCTGTATTTTTATTTAGAGAGGGGGGTGGCAGGATTTCTGAGTTTGCACTGATTGTAAGAACTGCTATAAATATTTGAGGAACGGAAGAGTTTATTTATAGTGGAGTGTGAGGCTGCTAATGAAGGAAATGAAACAGGGCTGAGAGAAATAGAGTTATTTTTCTGGACCCCTCTAGTCCTAAAAATTCCGCACTAATCTGATTTGCTTCAGGAAAACTTCATTGTAAAAGAAATTAATGTTTCCTACTATTAAACAGATCTCAAATCTTTAACTTTTTAAAAACTGTTATGTTGAGACCACGGAAGCGATGCCACGCAGACGCTGTGCAATGTTAGCCAAAGTGGTGCGTGGATCCAGAGCGTGGGTTGACCTTGTGTATGGGTCTATCCATCCCAATTTACTTCTTGGAGGGTAAAAACTGATGGGTTTTATGTTCTATGTTTTGTTCTTCTGTGTTTGCGACAAAGGATTGAGAACCTGGATGAGAGAGGGGGTTTCCACGTGCTCCTCTTGCTTCTCTGCGCCTGTGGGCACAGGCTGGGCCAGGGCACGGGAAGGAGTGAGCGAGCACCAGGAGAGCCTCGCCAGGAGCCAGTCAAAGTCGCGGCTCCAGTAAACATGGGCTCAGAGGGACGCTCTTGTTTTGTGCTGCGGTATTGGACATCACTGAACATTTGGGCTTCGACAGGCTCGTGACAGTGGGAAATCCCAGTGAAATGATCAATGCTGTTGCTGAGTTTTGCTGACCCACACTTACTCATTTGGTTTCTTCCTCTCTGGTGAAGATTTCTGAAATATATTCCATTTGTAAACAGGTTTGAGCGGGTTCTGTGGCAGTAACAGCACGGTTCACCTTGCCGTCGTACGCTGTGAGTTTTAGCACGCTGCCGGGCGGGTGGGTGTGTTTATCCCCCTTCTAACAGATGGGGAAAGGTTAAGGCTGATGCTGCCAACAAGTCTTCTGACTTGGTCTGTCTGGCTTCACAGCCGAGGTCCAAGAATTCCAAGTTTGCTGAGCACTCAAGTTGAGGTCAAAAGCGTCTGATCATTTGAGTCTGCTGAAAGCTCGGTCCCTCTGCCTTACTTGACATACACAAAACAAAGGATATCTGCAGTTAATTATCGGAATTTTGTCATAAATTACATACTCAAAGCTGCAGACTGAGCCGTTTGCAAAACTCTGGTCAACACTTGCGACATATGATTTCCAGTCGTGTACTGTTTCTAAACCAGGCTGAAAACGAATACGTGCAGCGCTATACGTCAGTGGAAAGGGCTGGAAAGGGAGCTCGGATTCCGAATACTGATGTTTCTGGATGTCTCTCTTTGAAACAGGGGCACCTTATTGGACTCATACAGACAAAATGGAGAAAAGGCTACACGCGGTGCCAGCAGCAAACACCGTCAAGTTTCGTTGTCCGGCGATGGGAAACCCAACACCGACCATGCGATGGCTGAAAAATTGGACAGAGTTTAAACAAGAGCATCGTATTGGTGGATATAAGGTATGTTCTCATGATGTGATTTTGCAATTTCTGTTCTTGACCAAGGCTATAAAAAACCAACAACTTGCTGAAGTCAACAGAAAATCTTTTAATGGCCTTGGATCAATTGTAGAAGCAAAAAAAGTAATTGTTTTCTTCTGGAGAAGGGTGGGTGGTTTCTTTGGCGGTTACTGAGCACTAATTCTATATATTTTTTTTTTTTTCTTCTCAAATTCAAGTTTGCAGCATAGCAGTGCAGCTAAGGATTATTTATAGAGAGTTATTTGAAAAACTAAAGACTGACTTTGCAAAGCAGAGCAAGAGTATTTTGCTCTATTCATTTTCAGCTGCATTGTTAAAAACAGGACCATCTACTCTGCTGATTGTAGGTGGTTTAATAAAGGAAAGGTTGGAAGTAAAAAGTTATTTTCTATAGAGTTTATGGTCTGTGAAACTGAAATGGGAAGCAGAATTTGAGGGAAAGTACCAGCAATTACTTACAAGGGTTTGTTTGAATTTTAAACAGCTTCAGATTAGATGTTTTGTTCTAAATTGGTGGTTACTGATTAAGAGAAAAATTTAGGGAGGCAAGCTAGCTCTGTGGGTTAGTGCACGGACCTTTAACCTCCCGGTATCTGCCTAGGTCAGGTCAGAAGTCAGGATTCGGTCATCTTACCCTGCTCCTTAGAGGGGATGGGAGCGTGTGATGTTGAAATTGCTGTTCAAGCATTACCCTGGCCATCGTGCTCCAGTTTCTGAGTTACCTCCTCTGCCGACCTTCTGTCGGTGGCTTCCTCGCGTACCCAACACCTCAGTGACTTTTCTCCAAAGATGAGAAGTTTCTGAGTTACTCACCTTGTGTCACAGTTGTAAGCCCCAGCCTAGAACTTCTACTGAGTTGCTCAGAGTTGTAATGGTAATTAAAACAGAAGTTAACTGACTTTTCCAGAGGATGGAATAAGCTCAAGAGCGAGTTCTGGGGGCTGCCTCCCCCCCGTACCACACCGCTGCCTTACCCCAGTGATCGCAGTATTTTCGGGGTGCCGTGTTTTGCGATGCCCTGATGGAGCCAGGGTGTACGTTGCTTCGTGAGCTGTTGACTCAGATCCTGCTTGGTACAAAAAAACATATGTTTTCCAGTGCAGAGGAGGACAAGCCATAGTCTCCTTTCCTCGCTAGCTAGATTTACTGTAGAAAGTGTCAATTTTTCCAACATTTGTGTTAGCAGAGAGCGCAGCCCAGCAAGTCTCCCTGTATGAACGCTAATTATCTAAGTAGACTTTTCCATCTATGTTTGCTTACACCATAAATTACTGTTGCTTATGAGTGTACACCTGGCAACACCTTCTGCCTTTCATAACACTGTGGAGTGTTAATGAATTGGCTACAATTCAGTGATTTTCACCTTGCTCTGTGCTTTTTTTAAAAACAAAAAAAAAGCCAATTAAAAAAAAAAAACCCACCAACAAACCCAAACTAATCCTGTCTTGGAAAATAATAGTAACTCTTTCGGTACTGACTGACACATTATTTGAACACTTTATATCTCACCAAGGGGAAATGCAGATACTGCTCTTGAAAACCACGAAGGAGAAAGTGTGTCTTGCGAGGCAGGATGGAGATAGCCGGTCTCTGGCTGGGGAGGGTGATCTTTGGCGGGGTAAATCAGCCCACGCGGGGCTCTGCGCTGCCACGGCTAGCCTGTGTTAGGGATCTGGGTGAGCTCAGTCAGACCTGTGCCCGTTAAGCGGCACAAATTAAATTTTTGCTCGTGTGTATTAAACATGTACAATTTCCTAGGTATGTATGTACTCTGGGAAGAAACAACAGATGACTATTTCTAAAGCCAAGCTGGATAAGTGACTAATACCTAAAATTCTAAACCATAACTTCTCACATCTCTCTAATCTAAAGGAAAAAAAGAGGGGACTCAGCTGTGGATTTTAGGCTTCCTTGTTGCTCGGAAGTACATCGCATTTTAAACGATCTGGTAGCATTTACTTTCCGTTGTCATTCTGCTTACCAAATCTATATATATTCCAGATTGTGTTGGTGTTTTGAATAACCATCTTTTTAAGATGGAAGCTTGTTTTCAGTGAATGGATGTTAAAGAATGAGGCCTCCAGAGCTTCTGGAGGCTGTTCCCTCTTCTTGTTAGAGGGGAAGGACGAGGTCACCATGGGCTTAGTTCAAAATTATTCTGAAATAAAGGGAGAACTGTATTTTCTTGACACCTCGATACCGACAAATTTGTAATGCAGGAATCCTCAGAAAGGACTGACTCTTTCCATGTTGGTCTTTGTTCAGCCAGGTGTCACAGCAACTCATGATAATTCTTGTACACTAGTTTGTCTTGAATCTGGGCGTTGCTATATGTAAAGCATTTTTGCTGGAGATCTTCATATTCATAATACTTTGGCTCCAGCTATTCTAGTTGCTCAAACTTGGCCATATCTGCCATCACCAGTTGATGTAACACCATCTGCCCCTTTTGGAAGAGGCAATCATCCCTTGAAGACTTTAAGAAAAAAGTAAAGGGAAGGAAAACGTGAAGCTTTCCAGTAATAACTCCAGCCACCTCTCTCCTGCTGCCTTGAGCTAAGAAATCTCTTCCCTTTATCACAATCAGATAGTGGCCTGTACCACTTTGTCCTGCTGACTGGGGAATGTCTTGAGTCAATTTGCACTCCGGCAGCCTAGCAGAAGGGTGTATGTGCTGGCCAAGATAGCTTCCAGAGCGAAATTCCTCCACCATGACTAATTCTGGGTGGTGAATTTAAAAATCGAACCTTTTATTATTTTTCAAGGTATACCCAAACTCCTACAGCAAGGAGAAAGAGTTAAGTTATTGAATGTCTAAAACCTTTTTAGTCTTTTTTTAATCTGTCTTTAAAGTGACAATAGCTCTTGCTTGTGCATTTAAAGGTACTTTATAATGTCTTTGAGTGAGTAATATAAATCCTCTATGAGAGACCACAGGAGCCTTTACTTTTCTGTACACCACCCGGAAAGCAAATGTACTTCTATCGGTTGTTACTGTTTAAGTATTAACATGTGTGTGTTTTCACATATGCATTTTGATAAGCTTCATCACTACAGTCATCTTATACACATTTAAATTCAGCCAGGTAAATACAGACTAGAGTTCTGTCTACAGGAACTGTAAAAGCCTATGGCTTTGGTATGGATGTTCTGCACTTGTTCTCTCTGCCTGAGCAGAACCAGTATATGTCTGAACTGTGCTGATTTTGTGGGGAATCACATTTTTGTTTCTAATCCTTCTTTCTTTAGAAATTCACTTAAAATTGACCTCTTTTTACTATATTTTTTGCTAAGCGACAACTTTTCATGATGTATCTGTTCACTGAAGACATGTATTTCAAAATTAAACAAAACTATCCACAATTTTTTGTATGATACTCCAAAAGCAAAATGTTTCTATGAAACACTACTTGCCCTTTCCTATATTTCTGACCAGTATTTCTTGGCATTTTGACTCTAGTTCAGGTTTCCCACCTCCAAGCTCTTATCTTAAGGGTACAGTTGTATGCATTTGATATTGATGATTTAGTTTAAAATTTGAATTGTTCGGAGAGACTGTCTGAAGAATTGGTTAAACATTTGGTGGAGAAGATGGCAAAAAAAAAAAAAAGCACCTCAGTAATTTGCTAGAAGTGTGCATAACAAGTAAGTGAAAAACCATGTTGAGATTATATTTATTATCTCCATCCTTTTGCAAATAAAGTACCATTTTTGAGTATGAAGCACAGGTAAACCATGAAAATAGGTATTGCAAAGCAATACTACTAATAATACTAAAAAAAAAAAAAAAAGGATGGCAAAAGCAGTTATTAAACTGTGATGGCAAAGTGTGTGAATGGTCAAGCTGTGATTCAGCATGTGGTTTCCCTGAATTTCCCTATATCAAGAAAAAGCAATGATGAATTGGAAGGGATACCCTGAAGACCAAGTGATGGAGCGGGTGGAACTGTGTGGGTATTCTCCAGGATTTTGAAAGAACTCAATATGAAGTAGGGCTTCAGGGAACAAAACAGTAGAAATACCAGGATAGTAGCTGGCAAGGAGCTGGTCAGGTTGGACAGCTCGAAGGGTTTCCTACAACTGGTAAGTCTCTGGCTGCGGACACGTGTTCCACCTTTTCTGGACCCCATATGCCTGGTGAGGATGCTCCCACTTTCAGTGGCTTGTTGCTGCCCTCATGTTTTTTCCTAGTGGATTAGTTCACATGAGCTCCCTAAGATGTTCTGTCTCCCAGACGAGCTCAAGTCATCTATGTAAACAGCTTAAACAGACCCAGCTGGTACTACCCGGGGACACTTATTAGGGAGTGTTGGGGGAGCTGCAGGACTGGTGTCTTCAGTTAGAAGGGCTCTAGTGAGCAACCAGGAGGGAGCTAATGGCTTTAACCTGCCTTGCCAAAGAGACCGTTCATTTGCAACTTCAGTCACAAGGGTGGGTGGGGGTTTTTTTGGGTTTGTTCCCCCCCCCCAAAAAAAAAGAATATCACTGTTGTAGTTCATCTGTATGCAGAAGGCTGGTGTAAGACCTTTGTACCATGGAAGCTTTGAGCCTCTTTTGAAATTAGCTTTTACATAAACTGGTGTGATGTTGGTGATGGTTGTCAGTAACGGCACCAGTTGTGCTACCCAAAGGCCAGGGAGTGACAGCACGTTGCTTAAAAAGACCATGTTAGCAAAGCCTCTACGATCAGGGCGCTTCAGGGATGCGGCAGGACCGTCGCACATCTAAGAATGAAAGGTTCAGTTTAAGAGTCTTCAGCGGGAGAAGATGCCGTCATCTCCAGCAAAGGGGAGTTTTTCTGGGCTTTGCAATGCTGCACTTGTGACCAGAAAAAACTAAGCCAACAAGCTGAGTCTAGTTGAATCCAGATTCGTGACATAAATCCAGTTGTGTGACGATGTGTCATAAATGCTTTGGGCCTCTACAGCGGTTGTTTAGCTTAAACTGAAGAAGCATAAGCTGTTGTTTTATTATAAAGATACTATCTCTTCTCATTGGCGTTACAAGAAGGGAAATTGCACAAATACTTTTTAATATTGCCATCTAGTATATCTACTTGTGGCTGTAAGTTGTATTTTCTTATTGAATGCTAAACAATCTCTTTTGTTTTCCTATTAAATTAATTACTTACAGCTTGTTACCAGTTTTTATTTTGTCTTAACTTCCGTGGAACCATGATCTGTTCTTCCTGTTTTGCAGTCAAATATTTAGAAACACTTGCTTGGATTCTGAGAAGTGTGATGTAACTTGTAATGGCAAAAAGTTCAGGTCACTTTGACCAAGTTTCCCCCCAAATAGCTTATAAAGAAGTAAAATATTCAAAATATGTAGCTGTTATGTTTGTTATTTACCAGTGGTTTATGACAGTAATTCTTCCTGACCCAAATTTTGACTTTCAAGGTTGCTTAACAGAATAAAGAGACAATAAAATAACATTGATAAACTATTTCTATCTTTATAAGCTTATTTCTTAGCTCTTAATGCTGTGGAAAAAAAAAAATCAATACATAGTTTTGATGTGTACTATTAAGAGTGGGAGCTGGGGAGAGGAGCTCCAGGTTTGGGCTGGAAATTTTGAGGTCGTGTGACACATTTCTGTGACGTTAGGTTAGCATCCAAGCCCTTCACCTGCTGCTGGAATCTGGTCTAAGTTTTCTCTGTTTTTCAAAGCCCACATGGCCAGTCGTTAGCTAACATTATTAGCCTGTAACTGAACAATAATAGTCCTATCTAGCTAATCAGGTAATTACTAGCTGGGGGGATGAGGAAAGCCAGGAGCCCCTTACAGAGAGGACTCTCTTCTTGCAAGGGTTGAACTGAAGGCACTTTTGCCTCCAGCTAGTGTGAGGGCTCGGCTCTTGGCACCGGGGCTGCAGCCCTGCGTAGCCTTTTCCTGCTGGATAAGGACCTGTGCAACAGTCAGGCACGAAACAGGGATTTCAGACCTATAGTTGTAATGATCTTTTAAGAATGTAAGTACTGGAAGTGTCGCTGAATGGTCCCTAAATTTTTCTGGTGTGCTGCGCTGAATTTCCACTTTCCATTTGGATGATTAAAATTACTGTACCAGATTGTATTTTATTCCATTTGCTAAAATACGTACTTTGCAGTATAAAGTTGTACGTTACAGCTACATGATGTTAAGATTTTTGAGCGCTTTGTCAGAAATGTAATGCTAAAACAAGGGATTAGTGGATAGCCAGCAAAAGGTCATTTTGGGAGCCAACTTATGATGCAGGAAATATATATGTGTTCCGGATGACTCTATATCCTTCCAGTATTGGGCTGGATCCCATTTCCTGCAAGACCAATGCCAACACTCCTTTGGAGTTCAAATGGGAACAGAATCAGCACCTTTAATACATTCTGTCCGAGAAGGATTGTAGGAAATAAATGTATGTCCTTATGCTCTGCTTCCCTGTGGATTTTCTTCAGGCATTTTTCCTAAGGCAGCATCTTCATTTCTTTCTCACGGTACCCCAGAGCAGCAAGAGATGTGGCCGCTCGGTGTGTCTGTGGGAGGGATCCCAAACATTGCCCTTCCGTACTTTGCTTCTCCAAAACGCCTGAGTTTAGATGTTAGGGGATCGTATCCATCCTGCATTGCTGGTGGGTAGTGCATGTTATCAGATGGCCGTTTGGAGACAGATGGGAAATATCCTGAGGGTGTGAATTTGCTTTGGAGTGGATTGAGAGGGAAAGCTGGGTAATTGGTGCCGTCCGTCCTCGTAAGCCTGGTAGGACTGATTGTGCAGCGATGTCTGCAGTGCTTGCATCAGGAATGAGGTAAATTTATAGCAGAAGGCATGAAAACTTTCACTGCTGCAGCCGTGCTGTACCCGATCAGGAATAAATAAAATATTTCAGTGTCCAGAACTGTCAAACGAGCACAGAAGAGGCTTTTAAACATGGATTACAAAAGGTTAACTATTCAGAAAACAGTTCTTTTGGAGGGGAAGAGGGTGAAACTATGCTAGTGAAGTTCCCAACCTCTCTGGTTACAACCCGGCAGGTCCGCAACCAGCACTGGAGTCTCATCATGGAGAGCGTGGTCCCGTCTGACAAAGGAAACTATACGTGCATAGTGGAAAACCAGTACGGATCCATCAATCACACGTACCATCTCGACGTTGTTGGTAAGTAAAACTCTGTCACATGTAAGACGATGTTTTTAATTAATGAGTTTCTCTATTAAAACATTTAGAACTAAGCTGATACATTTTGCATTAATTTTGGAGATCATTTCACAGTATTTAAAGATAAGATTTCACCACATAATCACTTGCTACATAACTTTGTATATTCATCTGTCTCATGTCTGTAGGACTAATTTACCCACGCCTTAGCGAAGGTGTAATATCCAGTGAGTTCGTGTGGCTCTGATACACCTACAAGCTTACTGTGATGAATAAATAATAAATACTGATATGCTTTTAATAATTAGTAATACAATTTTATTACTTATACAATTGTACTAACACAAATTTTAATAACTGCTGTTATGAAAACTGTCAAGTGATCCTTTACATTGCTGTTATTGTAGCTGAAACGATTTTTCTTTAAAAAATGAAAAGCTAGATATTGACTTTGGAAGCTAGTGCAGATCTGGAGCTTCAGGAAACATACTTTGCATTCACAGCACTATAACAGAAGTCCGACCATAGCCTGTTGCATGGGCTATGAGGAGTCCCTGAAATATAGGCGACAAAAACTGTGAAGAAGTGGTTTTACTTGAGGACAAATTCGAAAAAGCTAGTCTGAATTCTTAGTTAGTAGCAAAGCTGCGTTCAGGACTGTTAAGCACATACTTAGTCTTAACTTAATATTAACTTAATATACCAAAATCCTGTTCACTTTAATAAGGCGTACACATATTTATTGAAGTGCTTAGCTAAATTAGGGCTTGAAATCTCAGGAACCAATTCCATTCACCCCTACTGTTGCTGGTTAGCCTGGATGGGTGTGAGCAGTTTTGTTGACACTGAAGACATTGCTGTCCAAAAGCAGTTTGTTCTAATAGGACCTGCTTGGGGTACCTTCGGGGATCTGAGCTGCGGTTTCTGAAGTATGTCTTGAATGGGCCTTGCTCTCTCCAGGCTTGTGGGATGATCTGAGCACCATAAGCTGTGAATAAAACTTTGGATCAATCAGTATCGAAAGCAAAAAATTAATTTGATTATTGTAGGCTATTTTTGGTTGGTGACTGACAGCCCAACTGATCAGTGGTGAGAATCTCACTGTGAATTTAGGTTTATATGGCCAAAACAGTGACAAAAGCTTCATTTCCCTATTTCTTGATTTTTTTTTTTTACACGAATAAAAATACATCGCTCTCATTGCTTTGGATGCTCTGTAAAAGTAATGTCTTATTTTGTCTGGGACCACTTAAATCTCCGATAAACCCCCAAATCCAAAAGAAGACGAGTGCCAGCTTCTCAGGCAGCAAGAAGTGAAAACATTCCCCATAAAAACACCAGTGAGAGCTAGTCGTTGTGGAGCAGAGGAGGAAAAAGATACTTTTGCGATGGGAATGCCGTCGGACTGAAGCCCTGCCAGCAGCCCCAGTACGTTTAAGTCTTCAAAGCCAGTCTGTGAACCACCCCGCTCACCTGTACTTGGTTTTAGGTAGTCAGCACTGAGGATTTTTATAGCCTTGGCGATACTTTGTCATCCTCAGTAGAGTGAGCTATGGGTACTGTTGAGGTGAACCGACTGGCAAAGTTATTTTTGATTGAACACTTGTTTAAACAAAGTGTATGGAGGGTGCGGCAGCGGCGGCTGCCAGAGATGGTGTAAATTGTGTTCTGCGTGCATCAGTCCTCTGCCGACCACCTTGCCCCGGAGGGCGCGGGCTGCTCGCGTGGGCTCGCCAGGGACAAGGCTGGATTTACAGAGCCTGGCCCAGGAGGATTGTAAGGAGATGATGAGTTGTGGGATTTTTGGAGGTTTGTTGGGTTTGTTTTTTTTTTTTTCTTAATCCTTTAGGGAGCCTAGATTGACCTAACTTTGGTTTTGCTTGAAACTGTTTTGTAGTAGGCTATGTGGGAGGAAAAAGCCAGTTTTGCAATATTGGGAGTTTTCCTTGCTGAAACAAAACTGCTTAAAAATTCCCCTTCCCTTCTCTGTCCCCTGCTCCTTTTCCTCATTACCACGCCATGTTTCATGTTGACCGTAAATTTCTTCACCCATTTTTTTTTTTCTAGCAAATGTGTTCATGGATGATGTGGTCACTTGAGTAAATATTTGTCAGAAACCCTCTCACCTCCTCTCCCCCTTTGAGCCTTTTGAATGTCTTACATTGAGGAATATTATGCAGAAGTTTATTTTTCCTGGCAGTAAATTATAGTGACCTGCATGAATGAGTGGAATGGTAATAAGGATTATGTCATTTATTTAAATGTCTATTCCTTTGCTACAGAGAGGCAGAAAAATAAATAATGAGGTTTTTCAAAAGTGAGTAGCAATTTGGGGTGCTGGGTACCCAGCTGGTGGCACCCAAAGGAACCCTGATTTTCCTTGGGTGAATATTCAGCATTTTCTGATGCTTGGACCCTATGAGATAGCAAACCAAAAGTCCAAAAGTGACTTCTGCAAATCCCAGTCTGCATCTTGGGGTTCTGCGTTCTTAACCGTTTTACTTACTTTAATTTGATGAGTTAAAGGCTGTAATTGTTAGTTTACTTTGAAAACATATGTATGGGAATGCACACCCTAAGATATCTGTGTTGAATTTACTGTGAGTCTCTCAAGAGATACTGCTCTGGGATTTTAACCCAAAAAGGGGATTGATGTTAGAAAGCTCAGACATTTCTGTGTTACCGAAAACTTGTAATAATCATGGAGGTTGGGCATAAAATTGCTGAAGCAGTAAATAAAGGCTGGCCAGAAGGGGAAACTCTGACAGTTTTTTCTAGTTAAGACAGTTCTACAGAAGTTAATTTTGTGTCCTTTTTTTTTTTTTTTTTTCCTTTTCTGTTTTCATATGAATTTTCAGTTCCCACAGGGTTGTGAAGAGTTACGGCTGTTTGTTTAGAAGCAATTGCACATGTAGACCGCATCTTAGAAACTTCAGGTCGTAATTTTTGGTCAAGTTGTGTGTGCAAAACTGTCAGTTGAAAGCCTCTGAAATTGCTTTTCCTATATGGTTTAACTGGTTCCAAAGCTGATTAAGTGTAAGTAATAGCAAATGGTATTAAACATGGTAACGTATTACACTAACATGAGCATCTGACTGTATAGTGTAATGTAGAGAACCCTCTGATTATGTCACAGATTTGGGAGGTATCCCAGCAAAAATCGTGCCAAATAATGACACAACGCTAGTTAGGAATATCCAGTATTACTTGATGCCAATAACTTTCCAAACCTTGAACTCTTTTGACAATTAAAAGCCTGGAGCCAGCAGGGCTGAGTAGTTTTCAGTCAGAATGTAGGTGTGAAGTATTCTCGTTTTTACCTTGTAATTACTTGCAAGAACCCTCTTAAAATAGTCAACTCAGCTCAGATGGTCTCGTTCAGATTTACAAACCTGGCAAAACTGTTCCACTGCATTTTTTTTTTTTTTTTACAATGGGAGTAGAAAATACTGAAGAAGAAAGCAGCGAGCCGTTGGCAGCCCCTCTGTGTTGCACAGGATACTTGTGCACGTTGACCGCGTTAGTGGGGAATTGTCCTTATTATTTAAATGCTCGGGATACCCCAATCGACTACTTTTTCCTCTCTCCTCCTCCTCCATTTCAAAACAGGGACTTAAGCAAGCTTTGCTCGGGATGCAAACGCGTTAGATTGCAGGAGCGGCAAATGGTGGCGATACAAAACTCCGTTAGGATCCTGTGCAAGGGAGACAAGTCGATTTTAGCTTTTTATTGGAGTACTACCCAGAGGCTTCAATTAATATCGGATACTTATTGTCCAAGGCAACGTGCCAGCGCGTAGTAATTGCTTACAACCGAAATGCGGAGGGGCCGGGAGAAGGAAATGTCACTGTCCATTTTATAGATGAAAAACCGAGCTGTGGAGCGATGAAATTTCTTGCCCTGGGTCACACAGGAAGCTGGTGGCAGAGCCAAAAAGTAAAGCTGGTACTTGAATCCTAATCCATTACCTTAATTAAAAGAATGTTCTTTCCCTTGTACAGTTTAGCCCATCAGCTGGTTTTTTACATGCAGCTGAAGTGCCTTTCTATTCTTTTGTGTTTAACAGAAGGTAGAAACTCGCATTTTTATAGTAAGCTTACTAATAGACTAACTCCATTCTCATTAAACATATATAAAGTCATGCGGTCTTAAGGGAGAATGAATGAAAACGATGTGGCTTTCACTTTTGAGTTGTATTGTAGTGAATCCGGGTTGTAGGAAGCAACGTGGGAATGCAGCCACTGAGACTTGTATATAATTAGATCACTCTTGGATTGCAATTATCGCTAGAGTACGATTTCAGCAGCGGCAGTTCTGTTTAAGCATGGAGGTAACTAATTGAATTTTTATTTTAACAGCCAAAAAAAAAAAAAGGTTAGTCTGAACAAGTCCTAGTGCAGGTAGCCATTTCTGTCCTATTTAATGTCATCATCCAGGGAAACAAAAGATGGTTTGGTTTCAGATGAAGTTCGCCACATTACCTCATTTACTGGGTTTCATAAGCAGCTGCCATAGCACGACACATCTTCCAAGCATGTGTAAGAAGACCCTGCTGTTTACTATAAAAATGAACATGACTTGTCACAAATTTTTATTTTTTTTTTAAAAAAAGTCCTTTTTTCAGCCAGTTTAGGTGTACTTTGACCAGTTTCTAATTTACCGAATAGCCATGCCTTTGGTTCTCGTTACTGAGGAGTGAACTCCAGAGGTGACAGATTACCACGCATTTGTCCGTTAACAGTAATTTGTGTTTTCATATGAAAACAGTGTGAGAATAACTTCTCATCCAGGAAGCATTTTAAATGACTTAAAGCTTGTGCCCCAGAAATCTCATGTATGAGTGGTTTTACTGTTGGGTGTGCAAAAAATCCACTTTAATCTGAACTCTTGGAGGTTTAAAGGGCTTTAGGGTGAATTTTATTATTGCATTTTACAGCACATTATTAAAAAAAATAAAAATCTACTTTTTGCTATTGATACTTCACTGTTTATATTTCTCT